GGGGGGGGGGGGGGGGGGGGGGGGGGGGGGGGGAGGGAGGGAGGGAGGATGGGCAGAAAGGCAAGGCCATCCTCAGCTACACAGTGAGTTCTAGACCAGCCTTGGCTACATGAGAACCTGTCTCAGAAAACAAACTCAACAATGTTCAAAGCCATCACAGGCAACTTAATCAGACACTGACTCAAAATAAAAAGGAGGGGGGTCAGAGAAATGGCTCAGTAGTTGTCCTCTGATCTTCACAATTGTGTCCCAGCACACACGCAGTCTCTCCCTTGCCCAGTCCCATTATCATGGGCACATATACATAGTAATAATAAAAGTGTAAAATAAACAAAGAGGGCTGGGGATTAAGTTTTGTGGTAAAATGTCTGCCTGGCATGCATAAGATACTGAGATCAGTCCTAGCTATATTCATTAAAACAAATTAAAATTTTAAATTATATAAATTCAAAGTTTTTGTTTTTAAGAAATGAGGAAGTGTCAGATTAACTTAGTTGGTTAGTGTGGTACTCATTTGAAAAAAAAATGAAAGATATGATCAAAGAGTTATATATAAGATACATGAAGTACTTGGGGCTAGGACAGATGTTTAGTAGTCTAGGTATATCACTACAGTGGCAGGAAAATTAAATCAAGAATCTGAAAGGCTCCAAAGTGTGATATGAATTAGGAGGATCTGTTGTAATCTAGGTATCTGCTATCATCTATAGAGCCAGGGAGCCCATTAGGGGCAGCTGTCACAATGTGGTCCATTCCAGACATGTCATATCTAAGGTGATGCCAGAAAGACTTGTGCACATACCACACCCTGGAAGCATTCTCTGGTCCAAACCCCTGCTACAGTTTCCAGCTTGAAATGTCAGTTATGTGTGGGACTGATTCTCCTATATGTTTTAAAATCTGTCTGTGGTATAAAATAAAAAGTATAAAAATGATTTTGATACCACATTAAAGATGTCATCACATAACTTCCACTGAATAATACTAATTTCAAAAGCAGATAGCAGGCATAGCAATGAGCCAAAGGTCAAAAAGAAATGAAGTGGAAAACCCTCCCCATTCTGGGGGTGGAGATTTGCTCTACAAAGCCTCTTGTCATCCCAGTGGCCAACTAGAGCAGTCGGAGTTTTTGCCTTCCCGCGTGACATGTGTTTGAGTTACAGCGGAAAGGAAATGTGTCATCTGTGGTTTGGTTTTAAAAGTGGAAAGCTAGCTGTACGCATCCACTTAAAAAACGGCAGATTTCAGTTTCGTAGTCTTCAAACCATTCTACTTTAAGTAAGGAGAGAAGAAAAGAAGTTACTTATTAAATAAAGGTTGTGGCAGAGCATTTTGTAAGGTAGGTCATACATGCGGCTTTTCGCATTCCTTTTCACTCATAACTTTGTTCAGATTAGTGTTGAAGAAGTGTTTTCTCAAAGATGTATAAATATAAGTTTTCTATTCTATTATGAAAAACTATGTAAAAAACATAAGCAATTAGAGCTAGGAAAATTTTTAATTATTAATATGGAATTGTAAACCAGAATGAGGAAGGACCTGAGTATGGACTCAAATGAGTTAAAAAGGTTCATTTGATTTTTTTTGTTCCTTTTTTAAATTAGTGAAATACATTTCTTATTACTAGAGCTTAGGCATTACAAATGTGACTAAAATGGTGAGACAAAAAAACAAAACCAGAGAGCCAAAACCTTGCTAACCCAACCTGGTCTCCAGGGCATAAAGTGGAGATTTGGAAAGGTCCTCAGAGCTCTCAGGCATTTGTAGCATTAAAGAAAGCCTCATTTTGTCAGCATCTTGTTTACTGGGGCATGGTAGCACATCTGGCCGAAGACAATCAACAGCAGGCCTATTATCTGTCCTGTGGTACACTGCTAGCATGTACAACAGAGTGATGTTTACTGCACTGTGAATGAACTAATGTCATCAGAGTAACATACTTTCAGTTTTAGTCATTTTAACATTGAATCTGCTATGGTAGAAACTGATAGACATTTCTTAATAACCCAATTTAAAGTGCTTTTTTTTTGTGAACAACTCAAAGTATTCTATCATTCAACTTCAAGATTGACGCTGAATACTATTACACAAAGTCAGTGCACTGTATCTTTACGCGTCTATCAATAGTCAAAATCCCAATAGTGATCTGGATCCCAGAACACAGGTGTTCTTTTGTTTTTTCCCTCTCCACTCAGTATAAATTATTAATTCAAAAGTTAGTTTAAAGTGAGCATCATTTACTACATGCTGTTTTCATCTGTGCAACTCAACACTATGTTAGTCTCCATTTCTGTGTCTCGCTAGCATTCAGAAATTGTCTAACAGCATATACCATCCCATAGGAAACCTCTCTGCTCAAGTATGCCTGGCAGAGTGGCATCTGTGTCACTTGGAGTGATTTAGAGACAGAATCTCAAGCCCTACCCTTAGACCTGAAAAAGGACTCCCTTTGCACATTCAAATTTGAAGATAACGTCTATAACACACAGGGCTCTTTACAAGACAACTTCATTCATTAAGTGTTAGAATGATCTAGTGTTTGCTCTAAGTCTCCTCACATTTATGCTCCAAGTTCTAAGATACTGCCTCAAGAGCTGCTTTGGAGAACTGCCATAGTATTATAAACACCTCAGCCGGGCCTGGTCACACACACACAAACGCGAATGCCTTTGATCCCAGGACTGAGGAGGCAAAAGCAGGTTAATCTTTTAAAGCAAAGAAACAACTTACTTTACTAAAGGTGCTAAATGTCTCTTGCTAGGTTAGCTGTAACTGAGGTAGACACGACAGCCCCAGTGAGATCTCTAAACAGATAGCCAATAACAGGAACTAAGAACAGACTTGGTCCTTTTATGCACTGGCTTCCAGAAGCTGAGCCCAAAGCCGAATTTCAATTTTTGGGAGGGGTGGTGAGTGGTAGGCATGCACTACCCCACAGCTACATCCTGGCTGTTAAATTTCAGCTTTCTAGTATTAAGATGAGCTGCTCACAGCCGGCCACTGTGTTCTAAGACCCCAACAGTATGATGACCAATTTTAAAAGAATTTTTCCGTATAATTTCTTTTGTAGATTTGTGTCAAAGTGAGGGTCGGGGAGAGTGCCAGTTATAAAATGACAACAAAGGTGGCTGCCTTTTGTAGAACTTTGAGAACAGAAGAAATCTTTGTTCCTGGTTTCTAGGTTGAGAGAACAATCCTACTTCTGCTATTTGGAAAGTCACTGTCAACTAAGGCGGCAGAGGTGGAATAAGCACACGAAGCTGCCTTCACAAAAGCTAGAACTAGATTCTGAGGCTGTTTTAATGGCACAACTGCAAAGGCCAAACAACACTTCAAATTCCTATTTGATTGATGTATACTTGCTTCCAGTCTCTACCAAACATCCACCCTTCCTCTCCCACAAAAAAGCTACTTGCGACTTCTTTTTATGCTTGAAACAAAACTTTCTAGGCCAAGTCGCCTTTACTACAAGATGAGGACGTGCTACTCCGAGGGTGGACACTTCAGTAAGAAGGCCTTAAATGAGGAATCGCAAGTACAAAGCAGAAGCAGCTGACTCCAAACTGAGGTTTATGACACATCCTTAATAGGAAGAGTATGTAAAGCTATGGTACACAGTTAAAATGGTTAAGACATATTTGTAATGCTAACTTACAGCTTCAAAATATACAATAAAATTAAAATGTTTATATATTATCTAAGAACAGGAATGGAAATTCAGTTAAAAATAAAAGAAAAAACTTCAGTTGGGAAGAATCCAGTAACAAATGGTAGACATGAATTCTGATTTCTTTGTATTATCTCAAGTGCAGTCCCAGCACTACAATTAGTTCACACACAAGTCACTATTCTTTCACAAACTAATGATGGATATTGCTGTCTCAACAGATACCAGTATACCCATGGCCATGGAGCAGACAGGACAGTACCTGCATCTTGTTTTCCTAATGACAACAGTGTGTTCCTTGTCTCCAGGAACAAAAGCAAACCATACCCATCTGTGGGCTAACAATATCACTGTTTGGGGCTCCATTAATCAAAACAGCACAAGTAGACATCACAGTGAGAAGAACACAGACTCTGTAAGTGCTGCAGTGGATCACAAAGTGAGTTCTACAGACAAGCCTGAATTATTGCCCACTGTGTCTTTAGCCCCTACATCTACACTGAAGCCCTCTGTGCCTCATGTCTTCACAAACAGTTCTCCAACTGCAGAGATCACTCAAAGCACAAGCAAAACTCAAGGGGAAATTTTTAAAAAGGATATCTGCGAGGAAAACAACAGCAACACAGCCATGCTAATTTGCTTAATTGTAATTGCTGTGCTTTTTCTTATCTGTACTCTTCTGTTTCTATCAACTGTGGTTCTGGCAAACAAAGTCTCATCTCTCAGAAGGTCAAAACAAGCAGGCAAGCGCCAGCCTCGGAGCAATGGTGACTTTCTGGCAAGCAGTGGGCTCTGGACTGCTGAATCTGACACTTGGAAAAGAGCAAAAGAGCTCACAGGCCCAAAGCTCCTGATGCAATCTACTGGTGTGCTCACAGCTACCAGGGAAAGGAAGCAGGAAGAAGGAACTGAAAAACTCAACTAGGTCACGAATTTGGAAAGGGAAATGCAAAGCAACAATGAGGAAGGCTGGCTGGTGGTATTTTATAGCAATGTTTGTTCAGATGTCTGATCAAAAATCTGACATGCAGTTTAGCATCAAAGAAACCAGAAAGGGAAATGTATGCTTGCTGAAGTTACTTAAAACTGCATTTCTGTTTCACACTTCAAATTTTTAAAAAAGAAATAAAACAGCAGGTGTTTTATAACAATATATAACAACAAATAACAACAGGTAACTAAATAAATATTCCTGTTCAGCAATAGGTGACCTCTGTCTGAATGTACTTGAACTTGGAAGAGTTCTATTAAGTCCTTAGAGCCAAGCAGATGTCATAAAGCCATAATTCAACTGAGTAATGCAATGTACACTCTCACTGGATGAGGTAGAACCCATACCAGTTTGAATCTTAGCACAGCTAACCTTAGGCTACTTCTTTTTACCTTTACATGTGGCACAAGACAAACATACCTTTCTACTATACAAAATAAATTAAAACTTAATTTTGTACAATAAGTGAAAAAATTACAACAAAGCTGATGATGTATCTTGCATTTACACTGTCCTAGAATAGATTGTAAAAATAGATGAGATTCACACCTACAACAGAAGGTTACACATAAATATAAAAATGTTTTCATGTTTAAGAGTATCATTTGAAGAGGCTGAAGAGATGCTTCAGAAGCAAGAACACTGGCTACTCAGGTTCTATTCCCAGCACTCACAAAAGGTTCACAGATGGCTGTAACTCCTGGCTTCCTTGGGTACCAGGCATATACATGGTACACAGATATAAATGCATATAGATAAAACATCCATATACATAAGATAATTACAAAAAAGAGTAACATTTACCTTTTGTATACATACTGCTTACTAGAAGATTAACAACAAGCACTGGCCAAGTGTGGTAGCATATACCTGTCATCCCAACATTTGGGAAGCTCAAGTCAGGGGATTCTGAGTTTGAGGCTAGCCTGGCCTGCACAGTGAGACCACCTCAAGCTTTAGCAATAACAAAACATAATACATGTCTTAAAGTTGGTTAATATTTAGGCTGTAAGGATGCTAAGTCACTTAAAATGATCACTTTTCACTTTTATTCTCAAGAGCAGTATGAATAAAGGGATGTGAGGGGTGTGTGTGTGTGTGTGTGTGTGTGAAAATCTGCAGTTGATCAGATTTTGTAAAAAGGCAATTATTTTTTTTTTTAGGTAATTGCTTAAACTTTGAAAAACACTGGCTTCAAGTAAAATAGCAACTGACATTCAAGTCAAGCCCTTCATCTCAATAAAGCATATCACAAAAATTGACTTGAGAAACTTTCTAAGGGTATACTCAAACTGAAAAGGGATATATCTATTTAATAACTAGGCTTCACTTAAAATAAGTCCCATTCTTTAACTAGCTTTACTCTATGCAGTATTCTAGCAACCAAACAAAAGATTTTTATCATGACCATATTCTCACCCCTTTTTAATTGTGTGCATGTGCAGTAGCTCACAGAATCCAGGTTACTTAACCCCCCTCTGAAGCTGGAGTTACAGGTGATTATGAACCACCTGATGTGAGTATTGGGAACTGGACCCAGGCCTACTCAAGAGCAGTATGCTCCTCTTTTATAGATTTATTTATTCCTTATTTTATGGGAGTGTCTTGCCTACATGTATGCTTGTAACCACATGCATGCAGTACCCTTGAAGGCCAGAAAAGGGTGTTGGGTCCCCTGGAACTGGAGTTATAAACAAGTGGGTGTGGGGAATAGAACTGGGATCCTCTGGAAGAGCAGCAAGTGCCTTTACCTGCTGAGTCATCCCTCCAGCCCCTTAACATTGCCCCCCTTGATTAATAATTCAACCTGGATACATATCAGAATCAAATTTTTAAAAATTTAATACCAATACCTAATTCATAACCCCTACTTTTGATTACAGTTACAATGATCTGAGTTCAACGTCAAATACTGGGTATTTTTTCCTAACTACTTAGATGGTATTATCCTTGACTGTCACATTCACTTTCGTCAAGATCTATGGCTTTAAAACATCTAAGTTACATCTTTAAATGAACCATGTGTTGAGGGGCATATAATATAAAGTTTATTTTCTTTCTTTTTTAATGTGTATTGGTGTTTTGCCCACATCTGTATCTATGCAGTACATGGGTGCCTGGTACCCACAGAGGCAAGAAGAGGGCATCAGATCCTCTCTGGGACTGGAGTTGTGAGCTGCCATGTGGGTGTTAAAACTAAACTTGGTCCTCTGGAAGAGCAGCCAGTGCTCTTAACTGCTGATAACAACTTTTGCAGCAATTTACTACTAGCCTAAGAACAACAACAACAAAAGGCTCATCCCCTACACAGTCATAATGACATTACACCAGATAAAGCAAAATGTCAACAAAATGAAAAAGTACAGCACAAGAAACACGAAGATCAGGGTACACAACTGTCTTCTTATCTCTTATTACCTCTTCTTGTTTCTTTGTTCTAGTTCTTTTGCTTTTAGGGGGTAAGTGGGTGAAATGAGTTCTTTTGTTTGTGATAGTGTGTCCTGTAAGTCAGGCTGGCCTCAAGCTTACCATGTTTAATGATTTCCAAGACACCTGAGCCTACTGCTCAGCCTCCCAAGTGCAGAGATTATAGGCATGTATCATCAAGCCAGATTCAGGTTGTCTTTTCAAGAGTAAAACCACCCATATTGGAAAAGACTATAGGCAATGCTCCCTTTTTATACAAATTAAATATTTGTGGTTGGGTGGCAGAATGGTAACTCAGTTATCCTCCTTGAGATAACTGTTGTAAACAAATACTTGTCAGAGGAAATTAAAACAAAATAACCTTTTCTAAAGACAAGAAATTGGCTAAGAAACTACTTTCATATTAAACATATTAGCCATATTTTCAAATAAAACAGAATACTTTTATGTATTATAGGAATATTTAAAATGTATTACTCAATACTTGGTTTTTAAGCATGTCTCCTGAAAATGATGCCTTCTAATAGGAGCGTATGAAAAACTGGTTAAAAGACATCTACAGCTTCGCAATTTCCTAAGTTATTTTTTTTAAAAAACCCCTTTTATTTTCTATTCCTAGATATAATGATTATCATCTTAATCTAAAGATTTAAAAGTGAATTAAAAGTGCTAAATTAGGCCAAGTGGCAGTGATGTACTCCTTTAATCCCAGCACTCAGAAGGCAGAGGCAGGCAGATATCTGTAAGTTAGTTCCAGGACAGCCAGAGCTACACAGAGAAACCTTGTCTCCAAAACAAACACACAAGCAAACAAACAAAAACTAAATTACAAGCTTCTTAACAACATGGTAGGGTGATGGCACAAGCCAATAATCCCAGCACTTGGGAGGCTGAAACAGGGAGCCTGAAAATTCAAGGCCAGTCTAGGTCACATGATGACACCCTGTCTCAAAAATAAACAAGCTTTCTAGCCCCAATCAAAAAGGCTGCATTATAATATTTTTATTACATTCTATTATTCTTTTGTTACCAAGTTATAAAAGTCTTCTCAAGTTAGGAATTTTATCATTATAATCCATGTTCCTTGGCAGTGACCAGGGAAAGTGTCATTTGATATTTACTTTCTCTACTATACCCCACGTTGGAGGCATTTACATGTATTTACATCCCATAATAAGTTAGGGATTACAATCTGTATTTTTCAGATGAAGAGGAGGCTAGGAGAAGACTTGCTTAGGGAAACTTTCATTCAGAGAGACTCACACTCTTGAATTACCTTGCTTAGTCTTATTTAAATTTCTTATTTAAAAAAACTTTTTGAAGACTGAAGAGACAGACAGCTTAATAAACAGTTAAAAAGTGCTTGCCGTCCTTCTAGGGGACCTGAGTTCGGCTGTCATGGCCTGTGTCCAGGCAGCTAACAACCAAGAGCAGCTCAGGTTCAGGGGATTCAGCATCCTCTTCTGGCCTCTTGAGGGCACCTACACACACGTGGCATACATATACATAAAATTAAATAGATTTTCTTTTTAAAAGAAATAGTGGGCTAAAGATAGAGCACAGTGGTGGATCTGTTGTCTAGTGAGTGGTGTTTACTTTCGAGAATTGGCTAAAATGACGCCTCACATGGTGGCCAGTGCATCTTAATATTATTACTTCCTTATTGGCAATACCCAAGTAAGGTATAGGCAGAGCACAAACCAAAGTATAATTGTATAATTTTCAACAATTTGATTTTGGTATTTTAGTACTGTGTGTCACACATAAAGTCTCATACATACAAGTAAACACCACCTACCTCTTCCACTAAGAAATCTCCCTTTGGGGACTACCAGCCATAAACCTCTCCTTAGAATACATAATTCCTTGGCAGAACTAAATGCTAAGTATTTAGATTATAAAATCACATGATTGGAAAGTAATGGATCAAACATCAGTTAAAAGCACTTAAGTTATATAGTTGTTTCAAAATTAGCTCTGTTGAAGGAGCACATTTCTTAGTCATTTTGTGGCTTATTGCACTTCCTGCAACTGCTATTGATAAACTTCCTCTGCTGCACAGAAACCATTTCAGTGTGCTAGAGGACCATTTTTAATCTGAACCACCAACGTGTCCTGGTAGAACAAAAGTGTACATTCTGTGAAAGAAGCTATCAGGTAAGAACACCTGACGCAGCCTTTTCATTTCATTTTTGCTTAACCCGAAATTTATTTGAAATATCAAATATTATCTTTAGGTTTTACAGTTGAATTCAGCTCTTGACAGTTTAAAAATGTCTACAGAAGCTTTTCTGTGGCTCTGCTATACAGAATTTTAAAAAATTTATATTGTCTAAAAGATTTTCATCAGTGTTTTAATATTACCAGCCCTTTGAAGCTTACTCAAAATATGTTAACATTACTTTAATAATTTTTAAAAAGCTAAGAGTTAAAAATAAATTCCATGGGCATTGACTGAATTTTAAATTTTTAAAATATTGTTTAATAATTCTAGAGCACAACGGAGAAAAAAAAGAGTCTAGTTTCTATAAAGACTTTCTACTCATATAGATTTAAATTGTCTAATCAACTACCTCCCCCTTTAAAGTCAGGGTTTCTATATGCAGACTAGGCTGACCTCTAACACAGAAATCCTCTGTCTCTACATAACAAGTACTGGGATTAAAAGCATGCACCACCATGCCTGGCCTAAATTTTTATTTGTTTATCCCTTTTGATGGTCACCTTCATTTTGACTTAACTTAAAAAGAAATTATATACTTATGTATTTTTATATAAAAGGAATTTTATATGTAAGTAATAATTATGACATATAACTATTATATGTCATTTAAAAAGCTCCATAAAGCAAAACTATTATTATAAAATGGATATGTGAATATTCACATCATCCATGTGCTTATCCCACATACCCTGAACTGACATATAAAACATAAAACCAGCCACAAAAAAAGACATTTTGTAAGAACTTGTTAATGTATACAAAAGATACTTACTTTGTGAATAAACGGGGCAATTACAAATAAATAAAAAGCATGGAGCTGCCATAGATGTGTAACCTCAAGGAAAACTATGTTGGAAGTGGGTATCCCATTTCAACACTTCAACAACATAGCCTTCCCTTTAAGCAGTCTGGTTGGAATTTTGTTTTTTAAGGTAATGTATGTTATATAAGCTAAGAAAAAAAGGTCTTTTTAAGCTCAGATTTGTCTGAAACAGGACTAGTCTCAAGTTTAGCAGTTTCTTATTTCAACAAGTTCCTACATAATTCTACTTGGAAGTATCATGTGAGTAATTCTGAACTTGCTAAATATAAGCCTGATGCCTTTTAAGGCTCAATCTTTTAAAAATGCAATAAACTGCAAATTATGACAGCTTATCATGCTAACCATTCAAAACTCCTAGCTGTTCACACAGACCCCTGCCTGCAACTGATGTGGGTTTTCTGGTATTTCTCTGTCTCTGTGTCTCTCCCTCTCCTTGCAAATGGATCCTATTAACCAGGAATTTTCTGGGTGTTCAGTAATGGTAGCTATTATCACTGATTAAAGATGGCCATAAAAACACTACTTGGAATTCAAGATTGATTTCCTTTTCTGGCTTCTTCACTTTACAGTTTCAAAATTTCACTAGTTAGAGATAAGACTAATACTATGTACTTATCTCATATGTGTACTTTATTTTTCTTGCTGTTTTTGTTTGTTGGGGGACAAGGCTAGCCTGGAACCCCCAAGCAGATCTAGTTAGCCTTGAATTCAGAGATCTGCCTACCTCTACCTCCCGGAATGAAAGGTATGCACATCCACACCCAGCTATCGCTTACTTTCCTTACATCAAAATAACTGAGAAACACACACTATTTTGATTGTTTATCTGAAACAGAGTTTCACTATGTAGCTTTGGCTGGTCTGGACTTCCCTAAGTAAACCAGGTTGGCCTCAAATTCAGAGATACACTTGCTTCTGTTGCTAGGGCTGGAATTAAACACTTGAGCCACCATGCACAGTTGAAAGACAAAATTTTTGACTCAACTACCTACAATTGCCTTTTTCCCTAAGGAATATTTATCAAAGTTCACTGATTCCTTATTAAAATGATGTATTTCTTATCATAGCCGATTTAAAAGTATTAATTGTACTCAAGTATTTCTGTGGTACTGGAGATCAAATTCAGGACCTTGTGCATGGTGGGCAATCACCATAGCACTGAGCTACACTCTCCCATCCCTGTCAGCATGTGACAAACACATGCTTAATAGCAGGGAGCTCCTTCTTCATTGTAATTGTGCTTGAAATACTCATTCACTAAAACAATGTACATCTTCCTTTTTAAAAATTAAAATAAATTTCTAGAAAAACAAAGGACAAAAATAATAGATTTAGCCCTCAGGTGCCTCCCCTATAATCTAACAAGGTTGAGAAATCTGGATTTTCCTGAGCAGATTAAAGAATTTCCAAGAAATATCCTATATAGGTTGTGCACATGTTCTTTGTAGACAGCAGACATACTTCTGGGTAATGTCAGGCAAAGTGAGGGTGGGAGAAATCTTAAGGACCTTTGCAGCAGACAAGGGAACAGAAATGACCTGGTTGGTCAGCTCATTTTTGTTAATTCTTTGTACCTACATACAGGCCAGTGACAGAAGGACAATTCCCAACAACCTCTTTACCCAGGTCAATCTCTCCCCAGCTTCATTTTACCTACTTCAGTATTCTTCAGTAACTTCTTGATAAGCAACTACCATTTGCAACTATTTCTTTTCCTTTGATACCTTTTCTAATCTATTGATCCTTTCCCACATATCTGCTGTATCTTAAAATTTTTGTAAAATTTCTCTGTAGTGTTCTTTTTAAAAAATATTTTCATTTCTATTTCCTGTCTATTCTAAATTTTTATCCCTTTTTTATCCCCTGCTCTAAATTCAGCTGACCACTATGTTTCTCTGCAGAAAGAGTAAACACGTTAGGCATACACTGTTACATATGTAG